TCTGTCTCTGGTGAATCCTCTCACCCTCCACGTCTCTGGCCTGTACCCCAGTTCTGTATGCACAAATAAATAAATCTTTAAAAAAAAAAATGTTGGCTACCAGAGACTAGGGTAAGGAAGATGTGGAGCGTCAGATAGCCATGGAGCTCCAGAGAAAAATAACCAGTAATTTGTGTATTTCTCTTGATAAATAGATTTATTATAATAAATTTATCATAAAGAATTTGGCTCGGTCAGTTATGGAAGCTGGTAGGTTCAAATATGTAGTATGGGCAGGCAGGTTGGAAACCTCAAAAAGTTGACTGTATCCATCCAGTACAAAGACTGTCTACTAAAGAATTTCTTTCTTATTTGAGGGAAGGTTGGTCTGTTGGTCTATTAAAACCTTCATTCTATTGAAACCTTCAACTGATTGGATGAGACCCACGCACATTATGAAAGGAACTCTGATTTAATCTGACAAAATGTTAATCTCATTCAATATATCCTCACAAAATACTCAGAAGAATGGTAGACCAGATATCTGGGCATCTTGGGATCCCATCAACTTAATACATAAAATTGACTGTCATAGGAGTTATTGATTCATGGGGAAAGAACTTCAGTGGGAGAAGATGAAGTTCTGGAAAGGGACAGTGATGGTGGTTGCACAACAATGTCAATTCCCTTAATGTCACTGGATTGTACACTAAAAATGGTTTATGTTTACAATGGTTAACGTGTTATGTTTTGTAAGTTTTACCACAATAAAGAAAAGAGGAACCTACTTGTTTCGATTAGGCTTGAATAGTGAAAGGCAAAAAAATGGCAGTACTGGGAACCAGGTCACCCAGAAGTTGATGTTGGGTTCTGGCTTTCAGATTCTCCATGCTGTGTGACCCTTCACCATGAATTTCTGGTTTAAGCAGACTCATGAAAATATTTGAGGGTAATCGTGGTATGAACGTCTCCTACTCAGTGTACTTTTTGAGTCTTTAAGGAAGTGGATATTCTCTATCTTGGTAATAAGAAATTTCTCTCCTTAAATCCTTTTGAGAGATATCCCAACTGCATTTATAATCTCTCCTAGAAGATGGCCCCCATGGCTCTGATTAATTAGCATAACTGAAAGAACAGTGCGCCTAGTTCTTGCTGATTAAATGAAGATATTTAATAAACCACTTAATTATTTTGGTCTTTAATTGTGGCGCTCCCTGGTGGTGCAGCAGGTAAACAGAGCATTGAGAAGCTAAAGCCACTTCACCATGAGTTCGATCCCCACCTGCCCTGGTGGTGACCACATGGTGCAGCAAACCTCTCCTGACCCGCTCGCTGCTCCCTTCAGCAGGGTACTCTATTGATCTGCCTGTTCTGCTCTACACTCTGTCTCTGGTGAAGCCTCTCACCCCCCTGCACCTCTAGCCTGTACCCCAGTTCTGTAAGAATAAATAAATCTTTAAAAAAGAAGAGGAAGAAGAATCTCAAGAGTTAACTGTATACTGTTTGCAGAATATTATTTAATTTGTGGTATGGGAGGAGGGATAGTAAACAACAAGCTCTTCTTAATAGAATGATAGCTAGCCTTTCTTTTGAAGGATTTTTCATCTAGTTGGAGAGGTAGAATGATATAAATGAAGTTGGAAATCAATACAGAACACTTGTAAAAGTTTATAAAATGAGAAGGAAAAAATTGGGGGTAGCAATTCTGCCTATAGGTATTAGGTGGAAAGGATTTAAAAACAAATGAGTTGGAATTCAGGAAGTACTGGATTTGTAGGATTCATCACCAGGTCCTAGACTGTTCAGTGAGCTGGCTGTAAATGTTGACCCCAGGAAGAAGGGTGATTAAAGTCTCCAGGGTCTCATGGGTGAAGAGTGGAGGTATATATTGAAGTCTGAGAGATCGTAGGACTTTCCTAAAAAAAAAAATGTAATTCTTTCTGCTGGCCTGTGCATATCTGTGTATTTTAATAGTCACATGTATCATTCTAAGACACTTCTCAAGACAACCCACAAAATATTAGTGTTCACAGGAAATGTGCTATGTCCATTTCATCAAGAAGTACTTAATCCAGTAGAATATCAGTGGCATATGAAATAACTAAGTCACTGTGAGGAATAATAAGGTGTCCTAGTCGTCCTGATATCATTTTAGTATATTAATTCATTGTTAAAAACAGTTTCTTGACAATCTATTTATGTGAAAGTAATCAGGATGAATTCAGAAATGCATCCGGTTTTGTTCTTGGCACTCAGTCAAGGGAGGCAGGATGAGCTTGGGTGATAAGTAGCACTGATACATTCATGGGAAGTAACACTGACTTGTTACAAGCTGATCTTACTAGCATTTATTTGCTATATGATGAAATGGTGTTGCCCTTCTGTGAATTGTGTCACAGAGAAAAGTTTTAAATGACTGCAAAACTATTTCCAGTTGGGTCTCAGATAACCTAAAGCGAAAAAAGGGAATATGGAAGACATAGAGAGGTGGAAGGGAATGGAATCTTATTAGACGTTCAAAATTGATGATGTCCCTAGTTTAGGATTCCTAGATACTTTGTTTATTGAATAGTTTCTAATCTTCTTTTTTAAGTAATCCTTTATTTGTGTTTAATTCACGGAGTAGATTAAAGCAAATTTATGATATCATAGCATTTACCCATACCTACTGGTAGATAATAATAATAATTTTTCAAAAAAAAAGAAAAATGTGCAGGGCCTCCCTGGTGGCACAAGGGGTTAAAGTGCAGCACTATGAAGCTATCCACAGCCATTGCAGCATGAGTTCTATCCCTGACCAGGAGGTGACTCACATGGTACAGAAGACCTGTACTGTTTCTCCCACTTTCCCCTCAGCTATTTCAGTCAATCTGCCTGTTCTGCTCCCCACTCTGTCTCTGGTGAATCCTCTTATACACACAACCTGTTCCTCTGGCCTGTATTCCAGTTCCCAGTTCTTATATGCATTAAGTCAATAAAACTTATTTAAAAAAAAAAACGTGTATTGCAGTGAGACACATCTGGTTAGAAGGTGATAGGGAAATAGGTAAGAAGTCTATCAATGTTCTGTGCAGGTCTATTAATGGGGGAACCCAGAGAAGGTTTATTGTGATCTAAGTCAATCATGTATACATGATTCAGCAAGTCAGTTATGCTGAATATTATTCCCAACGATATTCATAGCTACCATTTATTAAGTTTGCATTATATTTCAAGTACAAACAACATTTTCATCTAACATCTTATTTGACTCCCTATAGAAACAACCTCAACATTTTCAAGTGTTCACTATAATGTCCTAGTTTATAGACAAAGTAATTCCCTGAGATTATAGACCAAGAAACTTCAAAGGAAAGATTTGAAAATAGGTCTGTCTAGCTCCAACATGCTCTCTGATGCTATATTATATTGCTACTATATAAAATGGACTCTAATTAAATTCTGAAATCACCTAGGACATCACAGCTGGAGATAGGAGTTATATGCGATTAGCCCCCAAATTTCTAAGTTTCTATTACTAATTTAAAAAGCGCAAATTAAAAAGAAAAGTGGGAGACCTATGAAAGACACTGTATAGGAGAGATAATCTACTACACTTACATTTTACACTAGATATGAGCACTGGAATAAAATACTGTGTTCTAAATGTAAACTTTTTCACAGTTTAGTGTGACCTCCATTTGCACTGTGAGTATAAACTTTTGCAAAGTGAGTACAAAAGTCTCTCCTCTGATGTATGTGGAAAGTAAGTTTTCCCTTTCATTAATTACTTAGTGTAATATCCTGAAATACTATCGGAATCTCCACTTTCCCCACCTGCCACAGACATAACCCAAGAATTTGCGTCAGCCAACTTCCCAGTATGAAGCAAAGCCTCTCCTTCTTCCTACCAATGGTTGAGTCACTCCTCTGTGATAGCTGTAACTATTTAAGTGCTCGAGCAGGAGTTCACACAGTTTTACTTTATAGAAGTCCGTGACTGTTACACTCGCTCATCCTGGAATGAATTTGGAGATGACTTTTGATGACCTCAGGAGCAATACTATGAAGGATCAACCTGGTAAGAAGCCAAGTGGAGGGAAAATTAAAGATAGTAGGGGTGGATGAACATATACAGGGACAGAATCTTAAGATTGCCTTAAAAATAAACTGAATATAGTAGAAAACTAGCATGAGCAAGACTAGGATATATTATGAAATTAATCAAGTTCACTTAAAAGGAAAACAAATCAGGTGCAATGATGATGATGATGATGATGATGAATGAATGAATGAACTAACTCGGTGTGAATGGATGATGATAACTTTTACTGAGTTTTTTATGTTATACTCTTGGACTTTCTCTTTATATGCATTATCTCTCTGAATCTTTACACTTCTATATAGGAATATTATTAATTCCCCTTTACAGAGGATCATGAGGATAGACTAACTTATCTAATAATCTCATGCAGTTAGTAAGTGGTCAAGCTAGGACTGGATCACAAACTCCCGGTTACCTAAATCCAATCCATCAGAAACTTTGGAAGATAGTGAATTCACCTATGGTATACAATGATAATTTGTATAAATGTTCTAGAGGCATTGCAAAAAATAAAATGAATATAGTTTATTAAATACTGTTTGATATGGTTTAGCATAAATTATGTTTTATTGTATACCACATTTTAAAAAATTCAGTCTATACTTGATATATACAGTAAGTTAAACTTCTTAAGGATAAGTTAATTTATAATCCCAACTTCCAAGAAAATTTGACTTTACTGCATTTTATTTTACATCCATTCTGAGAGAAAGAAACAAAGTACAAGAAAGGGAAGTTATACAAATATTTTCAGGGATCCAGATAAAGAAATTCCAGGTCATGTTTCTATAAACAAGATAGAAATTTCTCTCAATAGGGAAAATAAGTATGTGTGTGGAATGATTTAACATATGAGCTGATGAACTTTTAATAACTAGGTATGAAGCCAGTAATGGTGCAGACAGACCTACACATTAACAATAGTCATTTGCTTATTCATTCATTCATTCAATTCATTCATGTAGTAAATACTGAGTGCCTGACTCACTACATTTATGAAATTATTTCTCTCACAACCTGCTTACATCAGTCACCAATTCCAAAATGATCCAATTGAGCTTTGATTAGAAAATAACTAATGAGATCAGGGGTTGGATTAATTACAAAATACACTGTGCTTTCCTGCACAGGTGTGAATGCTGTGATTTTCTTCTTAAAGTTCAGGACTTTCATCATTTTAGAGTGAAGGACATACTTGATCTCCTATAATATGGAATGAATACTAACACCAGAGAAATGTTGGTAGAAAGATTTAGATAGATACTTGCCCCTGAGTTCAGAATTAAGCAATTATTTGCAAGAGACACAACCACCTCCTACTTCTGCTTTGACAATTTGTTATACACGTTCTAGGGACTCAATGAGGATGAAACCAGTGATTGTCGTGTTTCTTCCTGCCAAAATTTCTATTTGGTTGGTGTCATCTGGAAAGTCTGAAAGAAGTGCTCTTGATACATGAGAACCCTGTGAATATACTTCACCACTGATCAATATGGATCATTACATTTTCATAATGGAAATTTTGTAATAGAGTTAGTGACAATTAAATAGATGACTTATTAGTGTCTTAAAGCTGTATACTCCCAGGCAAATCACTGAAACTTTCAGTTTCTTTATTTGCACATAAAATATATTATCAGTGCCTTCTTTACCTAATTTACAAGTTTAGGAGTTCAGATACAATATGTTCCTACTTTTAAAGGAATGTCTGTGTTTTTTTTCAGTGGTAGAACACGTAAGTAGATATCATACCCTTGTGAGTTACATGATAGCTTTTATACCAATGGTAAATTTTTCTCTATAACAACAGATGGTATGAGCATAGGACATGATGCTAATATGAACCAAATGATTAGTGAGGTTTCATTCCTATTTTTCTTTGACCAATAGCCCCTTTTCCAAAGCATAATTTTAGTAAAATAAAAATTGAATCGTACAAAATTATGTTGTAATTTTTGGAGGTACTGTCAGTTGGTTAGCTGACTAAAACATCATTGATTTGATGTCTGACATTTGTTTATGGTATGCCACTTATAAAACACATTGCATCTGTTTGTGTGTTCGCATGCATATGCGCCATCCATGTTAAAACATCATAGTCTCTGCACTATGGATGAAGTTGATTCCACCCAGTTGGACTAAGAATTTCTTGAAGGGTAAACAAAGGACAAACTTTAGAATCAGATCTTTATTGAATCCTGGCTCCAAAATTGTATCAGTTGTATGACCTTGGGTAGATGGCTGAAATGCTTTTAGCTGTCCAGATTTTTCATTTGCAAATGTGAATAATGAATTATTTGCTGAGCCAAGGGGAGAACAAGAGGTGAGGAGAATAAAGCATCAGGTATAGTCAGACCCAAAGTGTTGTTGGGTCCCTGCCTTGATCTTTCTGATCATTCTGATTCTCTCCCTGGCTCTAGGTGTTCGGCGCCTCTCTTCCCGGTGGTTCCCTGCTGCTGTGACACTTGGGGTCCTGTGCGTGGGGCTGCTGGTGGCCATCATAATGCTGACGGTGCAATGTGAGTGTTGAAAGGGAGGCGAAGGAGAAAAGAACTTTATTATCACAGGTTATAAATTGGTTTCATAGTAATCACAACTAGCCTTGAGGGAGACACATTTTAGGCAAACTGTTTGTAGAGTGAGTGGGCAGATGGGCTGCATCCGGCTCCTGCCTCAGAGTGACGCAGGACATGTAGATTGTTGGTCGGCTGTAGATTGTTGGTCGGCTTCTGCTTGTTTTCAAAACATCACGGATACAGCCTGTTTAAATCCTATGATGATGAGAAAGAAAGTAATTTGAGGTTAATTGTCCATAGATAACCTGAGAAATAGAGGGAAAAAAAAGAAATATCACTTAATCCTTGTTCAGTTTTATTTTTTTTTATATTTTTTTACAATTTTATTTTTGTGTGGAAGAACTGGGGTGTCCGTCAAAGGTGTAGGGGGTGAGAGGATTCACCAGAAACAGAGTGGGCAGCAGAACAGGCAGAGTGACTGAAATACACTGCTGAGGGGAGCAGTGGGCACGTCAGGAGATACAATTGACCCTTAACATTTTTGTTCTGCTACTCCATGTGGGTCAGCTCCCTGGCTGGGGATGGAACTCATGCCAAGGGGCTTCGGCTAGGGCTGGCTTCTTTGTGCTGTGCTTTAACCCATTGCACCACCAGGGAGGGCCCCCTTCTTTGTTCTTATCCCTCCCCACTCTGGAAGCTTCAATTTTTATTTACTGTTTAAGGTCAGAAACTATTTATTTATTTATTTAGAATCTAAAGACTTAGGATCTTCTAATGCATTGGCTCAGGGGTGGTGACTGAAGTTTCCTCTAAGGCGTCAACCACTTTACAACATGGAATCTGACCTTGGAGCCATGGGGTAAACTTTCTACTGAAAAAACAAACTTCTAGAATTGAGACATTTGACCCTTAACATTTTTGTTCTGCTTGATTTCACAACTTTTATTTCATTTCCACCATTCCTCAAATGTGCTGTGGCCAAAAAAAGAAATTAAAAAAAAAAATCAGGCTCTTGTGACACAGCATCTTAAAATAATTTTGGAGGAGGGTGTCTTGAAAAGGGGGTGAGTGTCACAGTGGTTAAATACATTAGAATGTCTGGAAGGGTAGCTACATGCCCAGGAAATGAGGTGGGGGAGTCAATCATTAATGGCAATTCCTTCCTGTGGTTGCTCAACTGGTTGGCCTCTTACTAAATCAGTTGCCTACATTTCATTTATGCCACTGATAGACCACTTATGTTTTGATTACTTTTAACCTTCAACAACAAGTAAAGTCTTGATCATATTTTTTCAATCACAAGAGTCTGTGATTGTCCCTGACATTTACAAAAATTGCAGGAATATCAATTAACTTTCAAATCCATAATTTCTGAGTAAAGAGGTCATTTTCAGTAACTTATCAAGTGGGATTGTTTGATTCAGTTCTTGATTTGCTCAAAACTCAGTGGAGGAATTTAGCTGAAAATAGAGTTTCAATTCAACTGTTTTAGTTTCCCAGGTGTCTGAACTTTTGAAGCAACAACAAGCAAATATTACTCACCAGGAAAATATACTGGAGGGACAGATCTTAGCACGGCAGCAGGTGGAAAAAACTTCCCAAGAATCACAAAGGGAACTCAAGGAAATGATAGAAACCCTTGCTCAGAAGCTAGATGAGCAATCCAAAAACCAAACGGAACTCCAGCAACAGAACTTGAACCTCCAAGAAGCCTTGAAGAAAGCAGCAAACTTTTCAGGTATGGTGGGCAGGGAGAGGTGTGAACAAACTGAAACTCAGATAATTAAATGGTAATAACTGCAATTATGTAGTTTTGTATGACATCTGACAGTTTGTAAAGCCTTTGAATATTTATTTCTTCAAATTTCCAAAATAAGTCAAAATATTCAGACAAATGAATCATTTGCAAGTGTGAAAAAAATATGTATTTAATCTCTTTAAAAAGGAAGAAATCCTGGAAGTAAAAGAATGTACCACTACAAAGAAGGCTTATTAGGAAAAGGCTAATATATCAAGAACAGGAATGTTTATATAAGCAGACATAGCTGCCTACCAACCAGTGGTTTATTTCCCAGGCAGGCTGTATGACATTTGATTTGTCAGTTGTAAGGAATTAAAGCTATGCAGGTACCATTTAGAAACATCTCCTAGAGCTGCCAGACAACGAAAACTAATCAAAAAGAATAAATGATGTCTTTTGCTGGCAGATATACTCGGCACTATGTCCCAGTCATTTACAGATCAGATAAAGACCAATTAGCAGAGATACCAAAAAGAATATGGCTTTTATCCAGCAGGTTGGAGGAGATTTCCAAAAACATCAATGATAAATCACCAAATGGAAAACTATGCAGTTTTTCTCAAGTCTGAGACAAGTTTTATCTTTGTGGCCCCCAGTATGTAGAGGAAGAGGAGGAGATTCTGGAAAGTTATTCAGTGGGTTTAGCTGAGGTCAACCAGCTAGAATTGTGCAGCTTCTTCCAGGCTATAGACTGAGTCTTTAGTGCCAGAATTAGTGACAGTTTTCGCCCCGTATGTACAAAGTTATCATCCAAGTAACTTGTTAGAAATGACAGGTTCAAGGCCTACCCCCAAATTCTGTAACATAATGTCTTGAGGCATAAAATGTATCCCCAGATGACACCAATTTAGAAGATAGAGTAGTAGAACAATTTAGTGATTAAACACACTCACAGCTCCTTGAGTTTTGCCGAGGCTCAAATTCCCATCTCTCTGTCAAATGAAGAAAATGAATGGAACCTCTCCCATAGCACTGCTACAAGAGTTAAATTAGTTAATAGATGCAACTGCCATCAGTTTTGGCATACAATGATATTTGTGTTTGTGAAATTAAGAAAAATAGTTCAAAGATGCTTTAAAGGGTGGTTTGAAATTTGCTGCTCATTGTCACTCTTTGACAAACCTACCTAGAGTGTCCCAGAAAATCAACCTATATATTTTGTTTAGCATAATATGATGGGATTAGACAAATTAAGCCATGAGAAGCTTGTATTTATTGCTTGCACCATGATTTTTGGGTATGTTTTCTCTCATTCTCTTCTCTCTTTCATAGTTCCATATCCTCCCAGTTTCTCTTTTCTGATAAGGTCTGCTCATACCTGATTATGTGGCTGTATGCCATAATGAAAGTTGAAATTAGAATGTTGCCTTTCTCAATGATTTTATTGTTTGTTTAATCTTTTGGTCACAGTGTAGACCACAGGGGCTGTGTTGTTTCTCATTAAAGAGATTCCAAATGTTACTAACACAGAAAGTTGAAGGAGAGGGGAGGAAGAGGAGGAGGAGAGAATATCTACAAGCACATAGACATTGACATATTTTGGCTATCATCTGAATTTTATGTTGAGTTTTTGAGCTGGGAATTTTGTGCTGAAAATGTTTCCCTATTTCCTGAAATTAAGATGTTTACTTTGTATCAATATTCATTGCTCCCTAGAGTAGTTCTGCCCAAAAGAAGTATAGTGTGTACCACATGTAACGTTAAATTTTCTAATGACCACATTTAAAAAATGAGAGAGAACCTGACGAAATTAATTTTGGAATTTTACTTAAACCAATATTTTTGAAGTCATGTTTCAGCACAAACCAACATAAAAATTGTGAATGAGACATTTTACATCCTTTTCATATTAAATTTTTGAAATCAAATGTATATTTTACACTTAGAAATTTTATACTTACAGCACATCTTAATGCAGATTAGCCACACTTCAAGTACCTGAGAGTACATCTAATTACTATTGATGTATCAAACAGCACATGTCTAGAAGCAGGAGGCCCAGAGTTTAAACTAAATTGCATTACTCAAAGAGCTGACTTTTAAAATACACAAGCATGTCTTTTAAATCGAATAGCTATTAAATAGCTATCCTCCCAACTCTCCATTATAATAAAAGTAACATTGCAAAATAGATCAGGTTTGTGCCCTCCCTGGTGGCACAACAGTTAATGTGCAGCGCAGCAGGTTAAAGCACAGCACTACTGAAAAAGCTTCAACCACTTCAGTGAGAGTTCAATCCCCAGTCAGAGGTGACCCACATGGCACAGCAGACCTCTCTTGTCTCTCCGGCTTCCCCCCTCAGCAGTGCACTTCAGCAATCTGCCTGTTCTGCTGCCCACTCTGTCTCTGGTGAAGCCTCTCACTGCCTCGGCATCTTTGGCTTATACTGCAGTGCTGTATGCACAAATAAATAAATATTTTTAAAAAAATAGATCAGTTTTTAAAATGGTATCCCAACCAAATCTTGCTTTTTAATTTAGCTTACCAAAACTCAGAATGCTTTATTGTTTTTTCTTCAAAAACTGGGGAAATGCAAGCTTGAGTTTACTGAGGTACTTGTAGCTTCTGAGTATAATCCTAATTGGGAAATGTTGGTATGATGCAACTGTCCTAGAGGGAGAATTGTAGAATGGTTTGATTCAGTTATAACTCGCTGATTAGATCTATTCCTCTTCTAGCTCCTTGTCCTCAAGACTGGCTCTGGCATGAAGAAAACTGTTACTTGTTTTCCTCTGGGCCATTTAATTGGGAAAAAAGCCAGGAGAATTGCTTGGCCCTGGATGCCCAGTTGCTGAAAATTAGTAGCACAGATGATCTGGTGAGTTTTTGTGGATGAGCATTGGCTGAAGACGGGCTTAGAGGGACATAAATCAGGATTAAGCCCTGGGTGGTGGCTTTCATGGGAAAGTCGGGGTCCCAGATTCAGCCTCGCCTGCCACTCATTTCACGCAGAACTTGAGGTGGACAGCTGTGTAGTAGTATGAGCTGTCAGTAAACAGGTCTGCAAAACCATAGAGGGGATGTCGGAGGTCTCCTTTGGTTCTTTAGTTCTGTGAATCTAAACTAAAATAACCATGCTGAGTGCAGTATGAACTCAGAAAGCTCGCTCCCCGCAGGGATTCATCCAGCAAGCAAGTGCTCACTCCAGCTTCCCATTCTGGATGGGCTTGTCTCTGAGGAAGCCACACTACTCCTGGATGTGGGAGGACGGTTCTCCTTTGAAGCCCCACTTGTAAGTTCTCCATTTCGCTGAATCCACAAGAGAAATGACTGCTGAATTTCATATGCTGTCCGCTGATGCCTCTTTTGCTTGGGGGCATTTCCCAAACTCCTGCTCCACCCCTCTCACCTGGAGTACTCCATTTAAGTACTCCAATCTGCTATTTAAGTACTCCAATCATCTGTATTTGCCTTCTCACCTTCCATACGGATTTAAAGCTTTAAGCTGGGCTATATTCCTGACACCAGGTGGCGACAAATCTCTGTTTTCCCTTCCGTTTCTGCAGGTTTCGAATCCAGGGAGCTGTCTCCCAGATGTATCTCTCTGGCACCTGTGCCTATATGCAGAGGGGAGCTGTCTTTGCTGACAACTGCATTTTAGCTGCTTTCAGTATATGTCAGAAGAAGGCCAACCTATTGAGAGCATGGTGAATTTGAGGAACAGAAGACAAGCAGCAAATAGACTTTGAATGATCTTCTAGAATATAAGCTGTTTTGGTCACTGAGGTGCAAACCACAAGAGCCCTGGGAAGCGCCTGGGTTTAGGGCTGCAGCCTCAGCTATCTGACACCTTAGAGCAAACATTTTGATTCCATTTGTGTTTGTATTTCACCTGCTCTACCCCAAGCCAGAAGGCAAAAAGGGAAGCAACCCTGAGCAGCTGTGCACAGGAGAAAGACCGGAAGCCAAGGGTCGAGGAATCATGTCCTCAGTATCGCAACTCACTCCTGAGGTGTTTCTCCACCTACCACCAGATTCCACCATTTACACACACACACACACACCTTCCTCTCAGATGTTGGGGAGAATATCCCAGCAGCAGTTAGAAATTTTATGATCTTTTCTGTGAACTAGTTCACAATTCACAATCAGCTCCTGAATCAGGTAGTATTTCTTCAACTTTTCTCTACCAAAGGTCACCTTCATAGCTGTAAGCCTTTGTAGTTTTAATCCTTCAGAACAATATTCGAATTATAAGTTGATGGCCCAATAACAGAATTTTCCCCCTAAAGTGCCTACCTTTTTGGGTGGTGACCTCTTCTTAAGAGCTGTGCTACCCACAAAGGCAGAAGCAGGCAGGAATTTGACAAAGACACTTCTAGAGCGCGCTGAGCGGGTGTGCAAGCACTGTGAATACAGACAGACAGACTTCACTTAACCCTTTGTATTTTCAGCATTTCTCTTCACTTTTTACCTCCTTTAAAGGCTACAATTAAGATTGTAATAATCTTAATGAGAGAGCAAGCAAGACCTGTCTCAACCTCAGGAAGACAAGAGACAGTTTCTTTTATAAATAACTTTAGTAAGATTCAATTGACTTACAACAAACACAATCTATTTGAAATACACTATCAATAAGCTTTCACGTATGTGAACATGTCTCGTTGACATCATTACCACAATCAAGGCAGTGAACACATCTGCCACCCCCCAAAGATTCATTCCACACAGCCACTCATTTATGCTGGCTTTGTCCTTCGTCGTGTTTTATATGAATGGAATCATGCCACGTGCCTTTGTAAGAAATCTGACTTCTTTCATTTAGCACCATTATTTTAAGAGTCATTCATCTTCTTGTTTGTGTCAGCTTTTCATTCTTTTAAAATGTTGAGTATTATTTTCTTATATGGATGCATCTCATGTTATCCATTTACCTGTAGATGTCATTTGAGTTGTTTTTAGTTTTGAATCTTACAAATAAAGCTGCTATGAACATTCACATCCAAATCTTTGCATGATTATTGGATTTCACTTCTTTTGGGAAAATCTTAGAAGTGGAATGCCTCCCTCATTTAGTAGGCCTATCTTTAACTATTTAAGATACTGCCTACTTTTCCAAAGCTGGACCACTTTTTAAAAAATATTTATTTTGTTTATGCATCCAAGCACTGGCGTATAGGCCAGAAGCGGGGGTCAGGGGTGAGAGGATTCATCAGAGACAGAGTGGGGAGCAGAACAGGCAGATCTACTGAAATACACTGCTGAGGGGAGCAGCAGACAGGCCAGGAGAGGTCTGCTGCAGCATGTGGGTCACCTCCCTGGCTGGGGATTGAATTCATGCTGCAATTGTTGCTAAGTGCTGAGACTTAGCACCTTGCACCATCAGAGAGGCCCCTAACAGAGATTATTTTATAATTGGCTACTTAAATTTCCCTTTCTTTTGGAGATGTCAATATCTCTGAACAAAGTGTGAAAGAATCCTGGAGGAACAAGTGCAGTCCAAGACAAGAAGGTGGGTTTCTTACTTCTGTGTCTGGTTAGTTTCTATTTTTGAAATGATGACAGAGCTATCTTCTTTAGCCAAGCTGACAGTGCCTATGAGTCACTGTCTGTCCGCTTGCTATTTCTGTCTCTATTTCTTACAGACAATGTGTATTGTCTCCCTAGACCTCAAATTCAGAGGCAGTTGTTCTAATCTGATTTATCCTGGGGATATTTATCTCTCTTAGTTAACTTACTGCTTCTTGATCCCAGTATCTGAAATGTCCCTCTCCTTATTATTGTTTAAATCAAGGTTACAACTGCAGCTTGTGGCCTGCTGTCTATAGACATATATTCTGTGAACTGATGAGCTTTTACATTTATTAAAATGTTATTTTTAAAACTATGAGCAGAATAAATAAATAAATAAATATATACAGCAGAGACTATAAGTGACTATAAGTGTCTAAAATATCTCTCTCTCACAAAATGTTTTACTGACTTTTGATGTAAGTAGCTTATTGGTTATGCACTCATTTCTTTATGAGAAATGAACATGATAATTTAGTAGAAATACAATTTGAACCATGTGAGTTTACACCTCAGTGTTTCACTATGCCTGTTATCAAATTACTTAAGCACTAGAAACCTTGATTTCCTCACCTGAGAGGCAGGAAGACCAAGAGGAACTATCTCTTGGATACCTGAGGTTTAGTGCAATAACGTCTGTACAATATATTGCAGAATACCTAGGATTTGTTAAGAGTTCAGGAAATGTTAGCTATTTATACTATTAGTTGATATTTTCTATCTTTATAGGGTTGTACATATATTTCTGTTTTTACAATAGGTTTTAAGTTTTACAGACTATTGATCAAATAACTGATAGGCATTCTTAATTAAATTGTGCTTGTAAACACCCAGAACCCTCCTATTGTTATTGTTGAAAACACTGCTGCAGAGCACAGCCTGCCTTTCATTTATTTCCTTAACCAGAGTTAGCAGTGTTGGTCCTTCCTGGTGATGCAAGAGGTTAAGTCTTAGCACAATGGAGCTATCAGCAGCCACTGTTTCAGCATGCGTTTCATCCCCGGCCAGGTTGCTAACCCACGTGGCACAGCAGACCTCTCCTATCTTGCCCACTGCTCCCCCTCAGCAGTGTATGTCAGTAGATCAGCCTGTTCTGCTCCCCACTCTGTCTCTGCTGAATCGTCTCATCCCCTGCACCTCCAGCCTGTACCTCAGTTCTTGTATGCATAAATAAATGAATCTTTAAAAAAGAGAGAGAGAGTTAGCAGTGGTCAGTGATTCTTGAATTCCCGATAGACATTTTCCAAATAATGGCTCAGCAAGGCTCTCAGGTCAGTACGGACTGGATGGTGTCACATCAATGTATTTCAAACATTGCATTCCTTCAGAGAATTTCACAGACTCAGCTGTTTTAGCTCAGTAACCTGAGTGGAATGTGTATGCTTTAAATCTTTTCAAGTTTCAAAAGTTAGCAACTACAATGAGCAAATTTAAACACCCAATCTTCAGATCTTACTATCTCTCAATGTACACTCTTTGCATGAGCATTTACTTCCAAAATCCTCTCAGCCTCTGCTCCTCCACTGTCATTTAAATTGTGAGGGGAGGCATTAACTCTTGAAGAATGTCATGAACCAGAGCGTTAATTAACCACCAGTTTCCCTGGAGCAAATTGAGAAAGAGAACTACATGGTTCTAAGCATTTCTGTAAATTGAGAAACTCAGAATTTGAAACAGAAATAGTAACCAATTGACTTGTACCTGGATGGCAAGAATGTCTAAGTGGCTTTGAAAATTATTAAATTGGCCGTTGGCTAGAATGCATTTCAACTTAATGGTCCAGTTAGAATCACATTCCTGAGTTCTTCTTTCACTCCATTAAGAGTAGAGCTGATGGATAATGTGTATTCTACTTTTAGACGATAAACAATTCAATGCTAATATAAATAATTTAAGTTCAATTTAGCATTCTTGGAGACTGACAGCAAGAATCTATCTCAGTATATCAGTATATGCATAAATGTCAAAACACCTGCTTTCTAAGCTCTTTCCTGAGAAATGCTTATAGGCCACTGGCTTTTATTTGCTCAAAATAAAACCAAGCACTAATAAAAAAAATGAAAATGAAGTCCTCCCTGGTGGTGCAGCAGGTTAAAGCACAGCACTAAGAAGCCAAAGCCACTTCAGCATGAGTTCTATCCCCACCTGCCCCAGAGGTGACCCACATGGTGCAGCAGACCTCTCCTGACCTGCCTGCTGCTCCCTTCAGCAGTGTACTTCATCAATCTGCCTGTTCTGCTCCCCACTCTGTCTCTGGTGAATCCACACCTGCACCTCTGGCCTGTACCCCAGTTCTGTATGGATAAATAAATAAATCTTTTTTAAAAATGAAAATGAGCAGGCCCCTCCCTGGTGGCGCAGTGGGTTAAAGCATAGCACTGAGAAGCTAAAGCCACTTCCGCATGAGTTCGATTCCCACCTGCCCCGGAGGTGACCACCTGGCGTGGCAGACCTCTCCTGACCCGCCCGCTGCTCTCCTCAGCAGTGTACTTCATTGCTCTGCCTGTGCTGCTCCCTGCTCTGTCTCTGGTGAAGCCTCTCACTGCCCTTGAGCTTCTGGCCTGTACCCCAGCTCTATATGCACAAATAAATAAATCTTTAAAAAAAAATGAAAATGAGCAGCCTTGTAAAAGTCCTATGCCCATCTTATTCATCCTGTGTGTGATTATTGGATGAGAGAAGATGGCTAATAAAAATTAGATGCTATATATTTGTCAGTTTAATATAACATAATAGTGCCAGAATATTTGCTTTCTGCAAGTTACTCTAATTTACTTTGACAAAGTGACATAGATTCAAAATTTTGCTCACAGTTCATTCATTCACCCCTCTCTTGAGTCCCTTCTTTCCTTAGAGAGCGATGAATACATTTCAGCCTATTCTGAAAGTGCTCACAGTCTAAAGTAGAGGGGAAAAATACTTGAATACTTGAATAACCATATTTCTACATTCTCCCCATTCATTTACTATATGACTCTAGACGCTTGGAATTAGCAATGAAAATGACAAGTTATCTCCTTCCCAGAATTTATGAGATGATGGTAGAATAAAAAATTAAAACTAAAATAATCATATGCAGTAATTATTGAAGCCATTCACCACAGAAGACAATTCTTCATAGACACAGTTTTAAGAATGAAGACATAGAGATGCCCATAAGCAGAATGAAAGCCACATTTTTTTTTTTAACCAGGAGTGTGATCCAGCCTGCAGAAATTCTTCAGCTTTACTCACAAATGAAATGAAACAGATGAATTTCCCCTAACATGCTTGGAAATTCCTATTACTAAGCAGCAGGTGGCACCACCCTCACTCACACTTCTGTGGCCGCTACATCTTTTGTTTAATTCATATGAATTGCACAGCACAGGTAGTATATATCCACTTTTTATTATTGTCCCTCTCTTATCCACCACCCAAGCATCCCAGGGGAGACTTAGACTCATTATCATGTTATTCGTGTGGAAACAAGTAGAACTAATTAAACAACACCTCTAGTCACTCAGTCAGTAGTGGCAGGGCAGGAGTGACAGACCCCTAAGATGCCCTTTTTAGATACAGACCATGGGCTGTGAGTCTAGAAGTTCTGCCAGTATTCAGAGATTTCCCTCACCACCCTCTCTCTTCCCCCATCTCACCATACAATTCAGTTGTCTCCCCTTGAGTTGTTTCCATCTTTATAAAAAAATGAATGGACTATACCAGGTGAACTGCTTCCAAATATTTTGTAAACTTAATTGTTTTACTTGTAAAAAGAAATTATGCATGAAATGCCCACCTATAAAGCAAGCAAAATCCAAGATGCTCTAGTTATTATCAGGGCAGTCTAAAGACTTAGTAGTTTGTCATGTCCCAAGTCACATTCTGCTGTAGTTTTCTTTCTATTAAAGATGATGGATAGGGGCCCTCCGTGGTGGCGCAGCGCGTTAAAGCACAGCACTGAGAAGCTAACGGCACTTCAGCATGAGTTCTATCTTCAGCCCTGGCGTGGCAGACCTCTCCTGACCCGCCCACTTCTCCCCTCAGCAGTGTACTTCAACAGTCTGCCTGCTCTGCTCCCCACTCTGTCTCTGGTGAATCCTCTCACTGTCCCTGAAACCCTGGCTTGACCTCAGTTCTGTATGCATAAATAAATAAATCTTAAAAAGAGAGAGAGAGAGAGAGAGAGATGATGGGTTGAAATACACAGGAAAAAAAGAAAATACTGTCGACTTCTTTGATGAACCCATGGATGGTCAAGGCGGTAATAAGTGCAGTGACTGCAATGGAGAGGGAAGACCTACCGTGGGTAGGACAAAGAGAAATAATGTGTCTGTCACCTAAAGCTAAAAAGTCAGCAGACAAGTGGATGGGAAGTCTACCTGCACAGGTCTGCCCTGCTTTCCAAAGGTAAATTTGTAAGCAACCCAACCTGGTTTTTTATTGATGGCCCAGAAAACCAAACTTTGACTCATGAGCATGTCTTACCACAATGAACAATACATTTGTGATGGCCCAAGGAAGTCTGAGGCACAAACCCACTAAAAGTCCCAGAACAGGAGACATGCTGGGGTTATGTAAGAGGAAGGATGACAGGAGGTGCCAGGATATGCCTGATAGTGTGGGTGTCAAGAATTACAGTGTCTCATATCTTTTGCTGCAACTTGGATGGAGCCTGGAAAAGATCATGCTTAGTGAGATAAGCCAGAAAGAAAAAGAAAAATACTGATGGTTTCACTCACAGCAAGAGTATAATGGACCAGGCAAGAAAATAATAAGAATAATGAATAGCCATATACCAGAGACATTTTGTGGTGGTGGAGTGGGGAATGGGATCAAAAATAGGAGGGGGGGGTGGGGAGGGAAGTGCATGGGACTATGGTGATGGCACACGGTGACTCAGTGATGGGAAACCCACGGGGATTACAATTGAGATGAAAAAAATGTACAAAATGATGTAAAAATAAACATATTATATATAAAAAATTTTTGAAAAATAAAAAAAGAGTTACAGTGTCTATTTTTTCCAGCAAGGAGTGTTTTTCCGGAGCTATCAGCCCGAACAATTAACAGCGGCTTGTTCTTGGTGTTGCTATCAACTTCCAAGAGGCACAGAGAATTCCTGTGAGGTATGTGGCACAATTTCCAGGTTCTGCGAATACTGTTGGAGTGAAATTCATTAGTTGTCAGTTAAAGTTTACTCACAGGCTGCAGGGGTGGGGGAGTGTGGGGGGGTTGGGGGAGGTTGGTGGGAGGGGCAGGAGGAAGAGGGAACAAAGGTGATTAGAGTTTAATTTTGCTTATTCCTCATTTTTAGTATAGAGAAGTTTTTGTTACAAAACAGAGGGGATTCAGCTGTAAGTTAAAGGGAACTTGATTGTAACTTGGGACTAGAAATTGGAATTACCAAGAACTTAGTTTCCAGTTCATAAGATGAGTAATTGCTTGTTTTCTGCTGTTTCTCCAATTAGACGGAAGATCTAGGAGGTGTTGTTCTGCACTTTGGTCTTATGATAATGATGGAGACAAAAATTCTGGTCCTTTTGGAGTTTATAAACTGAACCAGAAAATAGACTTGGGTAATTTTAAACTACAATATATGAAGGTCTTTATTTTCTTCATGTATTGTTATTTATAGACTCTTCTCAGTTACTTCATTTACATTGGCTATAAATAAATAGTTATTGATGACCTACAAGGAATCAGAAGCTAGTCTAGGTTCTTGGGATAGATATATTAAGTGAAGAAGACAAACAGGATTCTTAATTCATGGAGTTTACAGTCATGTGTGTGAAGTAAGTCTAATTATAAACAATTTAGATATATACAAATAGTGGGAAGTGGGAAGGAAAAAAAAAAAAAAAGCTTTGTGATTTGATCCAGAGTGATTGGTAGTCATCTGATTATACTCTGCTTCAGACTAGGTAATCAAGGAAGACCTCCCAGAGATGATGTTATTTAAACTGAGACCAGTAGCCAAGAAAACTTTCACCCTAAAAAGAAGGCCAGTGTTTCAAGACCATACACGGAGAAATCAATCTCCAGCCAGGGAGGTGACCCACATGGTACAACAGACCTCTCCTATCTCACCCACTGCTCCCCACACCTCTGTCCTGTACCCCAGTTCTTATAAACATAAATAAATAAATCTTAAAAAAAGAAAGAAATGAAGATAGTCAGGTACCAGTTAAATGAAATCCTTATAAGCAAGGAAAAATGCAATCAAGAGTGGTCGATAAACAATAATGGGATAGTAAATTGTCTTCACAAATTAAAAAAAAAGTAAAATTTAATAAAATTCACCTGCTTTTTATTCTTATTGTCATGTTCCAGTAATATTAAGCAATGTCAGTGGTAAAATACTCCCTAAAATATCTTCTGCTGCCTGAAATTTTTAGCAGTTATTGTGATGAGTGTTGAATTGAATAAATATCCATTAATCAATTCTTCTTTTACAGTAATGTTCTATGAAGTTGCAAAGAACACTGAGTAAGTATTGCTTTTAGGGAAAATATAATTTTATATTGCTGTACTGTCTGGTGATGTTATTACCAACAGATCAGTGCATAACCTTGTCTAATGTATGTTTCTGTTTAAAGACAACTTAAAATATATCTTGTTGATTTATTAGTATTGAACTCATGGCCAGCAGCACCAACATATATGCCTAAATAATGATGATCTAAGAGACATATTTTTTTTTTGCTAAGGCACATCACAACCTCCTGGAGCTTAGGAACATAAGATAGCATTCCAGCATTGTACTTGCATATATTTTGAACAATGAAAACTGTGAAAAAGACACTCAGTTTAATATTTATAGAAGTGAGAGCATGGCCAAGCTGACAGTCAGCCTGAATACAATTCTTTCAGCTACTTTATTGATGAAACATTTGATCTGACTCTTGATTCAATTCATTATATTTTTAGCTTAAAAGATAATATCTAAGAACTCTTTTTCTAAAAGATTTTATTTATGCATAAAAGAACTGTGGTACAGGCCAGAGGTATGGGGGAGGGGAAGGGAGTGTGAGAAGATTCACCAGAGACAGAGCAGGGAATTGAACAAGCAGGTTGACTGAAATACTCTGCTGAGGGGAGCAGTGGGTGGGACAGGAGAGCTCGGCTACTTGTGAGTCAGCTCCCTGGCAGGGAATCAAACTAATTCTGCAGTGGCTGCAGATAGCTTCAGAGTGCTATGCTTTAACCCATTGCACCACCTGGAAGGGCCCAGCATTTTATGTATCTTTTAAGGGCATAGCTTCATACCTCTACAAATGAGTGTGACCACACCATACCTACCATCAAAGTACCCACAATCTTCCATCACAGTCCACGGGGGCCCTTCTCACCCCTCTCTGATAGCCATGGTTCTACAGTCATATTTCAAATGTTTTTGTTTGCTCCTTTGTCTTATTTATATTATACATAGAAGTGAAATATAATACTTGCTTTTCTCCCTCTGACTTTGCTTAGCACAATCCCCTCCAGTTCCAAATATACTGATGCAAATGGCAAGATTTTATCATTTTTTTTTT